TAGACATATTGCCGGCAAGGACTATGTCTTCGCTCATCTTTTCATGACATAAAACTTAACAAAGTATCTTTATATTATATTGTGGCCTCACCAGAAATGGGAGTGTGAGATTTTCAAGTAACCTCCAAGGAAGTAATTAAATGAAGACCGTGCCATTCTCATAAGGCCCATTAGCTCTAGGAAGTCAACTTGTGGAGGATAAAGTCTGGACCAGTTCTTCTGGATTATATCCAAATGGTGCTAGGTAATAAAAAAAAAAAGTGAGTGATCAACAAAGAAGTTGGAATCACCCAGCAAGAGCGAGAGATAACAGATGGACACCTTGAGCACTCCATCGGTATCCTCACAATGTCAGGAGAATTTGAGCAACGTCAGCATTTTGGATGGACCCCCTCGTGGGACAGGAATCAGGCATGAGTTGAAATCTGTATCATCAGAGGGAATTCCCATTTCAACAAGATCAGAGATTTGCAGGAGAAATCTGCATGATTGAAAGGGGAGAGAATTATGTAAGGACCCTTTCTCATCGTTTAAGTCCAGTGATTTTGCATAACTGTGCTTATTGGGACTTTAGAATTTTTTTTTCTATCAGCTGGACCTTGACCTGTGTTTGAATCCTGCCTCAAACACTTACTACCTGTGAAGTAAAGGGCAAGGTAATTAACCTCATCACCACCTCACACTTGGACTATTTCAGCCCCCTGCTGCTTGGTCTCCCTCCCAAGTATCTCCCCATTCCCATCCATATTCCACAAGCTGTCAGAGTGATCTTCCTGAAGCTCCTCTCTGACCATGTCACACACACCCTTACTTAGTAAACTCCACTGACCCTCTATCACTTTCAAGATCAACTATAAAATCTTGGGGCAGCTAGCTGGTGCAGTGAATAGAGCACCGGCCCTGGATTCAGGAGAACCTGAGTTCAAATCCGGCCTCAGACACATGACACTTACTAGCTGTGTGACCCTGGGCAAGTCTCTTAACCCCATTGCCTAAAATAACAACAACAACAACAGCAACAAAATAAAATAAAATAGGTTCATTTTTTAAAAAAAGATTAAATATAAAATCTTCTGCTTGGCTTTTAAACCGCTTCATAACTTGGCCTCTTCCTACCTTTACAGAATTCTTACACCTTCCTCCCTTCCATTGTACTCTGTGATCCAGTGAACTATAGGATCCATTTCCTCACTCCAGGCATTTTCTCTAGCCATGCCCCATGCCTGGAACTCTTTCCATTCTCACTTCCTTCCACCTTGTGGCCACCCTGGCTTCATCTCTCAGCCAAGATCCCACCTGCAACAGGAAGCCTTTCCAAGTCCTCCATAATCTCTGTGCCTTCCCTCTGAAATTGGCTCCAGTTTCTCCTGTATGTAGTCAGGTTGTGCAGAGTTGTATGTGTGTCGTCTCCTCCGTTAGACTGTGAGCTCCCTGAGAGCAGGGGCTGTTTTTTTGCCTTTCTTCACATCTCTAGCACTTAGATCAAAAGAAAGGTGAGACGTACAAATGTAGAGACCTCTCCTTCCCAAGTGTCCAAACAGACTACTTGTGTCCAACCTGCAGTGGAGCTTTCTGAGCTTCTGTTGGTCTGATCAGCCACAGTCGGACACACTGTACTTTGATGCCAACATCATGATGCTGCCTTGGTCCTCTCTGAGTATGAGAGACGACTACTATTACTACTTAGCATGGTTCCTGGCACATAGCAGGTACTTCATAAATGCTTTTTGATTGAACTAACCTGACTTCACAGAGCCTCAGTCTCTTCTTCCATTAAATAAGAATTCTTATACCAACTGCCTTGTAGAGTGATTGGGAAGAAAGCAATTTGCAAACCATAAACCACCATAAATATGAGAGTCATTATATATGGCCTAAATTGAAGAAAATTGCACCAAGTATCAAATTAGATAGCTATTTGTGAGTAATAGATGCATCATTCAATGTGATTGGCCATAGGCAGTTAGGTGGTAGAGTAGATAGAGCACTGGGCCCAGAGTCAGGAGGATCTGAGTTCAAATCTAGCTTTGGACACTTACTAGCTGTGTGATTCTGAGAACTCAACTTCTTTTTGCCTCCTTTTCTCACCTGTAAAATGGGAATAATAAAAGCACCTGCTTATCAAGGTTGTTGTGAGGATCAAAAGAGATAATATTTGGAAAGCACTTAGCACAATGCCCGGCACAAAGCAGGTGCTATATAAATGCTTATCCCCTCTGCTCCATCTCTCAGTATTTCCTGAGAAGCTATAGTATAATAAAGGGAGGAGTATAAATACAAAAATGGGGAATCTGATAGTTCTTGTCCTCAACTTTTGTTCCAGGGGGATGAAATATGTGTAAATAACTGTAATTCTGGTTGGACATTATGAGCGCATACGAGTGATTCAACATAGAACAATGAGGGAATCATAGAAGGTTCTGTGGAGGAAGTAGTACCTGCACTAGGCCTTGAAGGAAGAGAGATGGCAACATATACAGTAGAGATGTGGAAGGAGTCAGTGACAGGTTTGAAATATAAGCTGGAGAAATGCAAGGCAAGAAGAAAAAAAAGAATGAGCTCGGGAAACAGGTATTGTGACAGGAAGTTACAATGTCGAAGACCAATCAGTATGAAATAAGGTGGAGAAGGTAGGGTAGAGCATTCATATTCATTTGGTCCTTTCAACAACCATGTAAAGTAAATAGAGCAAGTTTCATTATCATTGTTTTAAAAGTGAAGTAATTGAAGTTCAGAGAGGTCATATAACGGGTTCGAAGGCATACAGCTAGTTGTTAACTGTACATCCAGGGATCTTTTCACTATACCAGGAATATAGTGAGAATTAACTTTTAAAAAAATATATTTTGGTAACGTTATTTCAATATAATTGATTTCCTTTGCAATACCATGTTATTTAATTTTGTGCATTTAAAAACACTATTCTGAGAAAGGCCCACCCCATAGACTTCACCAGACTGACAAAGGGGTCTGTGACCCAAAAAAGGTTAAGAACTTCTATGTTCTACCACATTGGCTTCAAAACTTCAGGGATGCATAGCCTCAATGGGGCAGATATATTTTCTACCAAAGCAAGTTACAAGTCTTCTGTGCCTTAAAAGACTGTCTTTGGAGTAACTATGACTGAAAAAATGCATTACCTTGTAGCCAATATTCTGGTGTAGGCCTCTCTAGACTTAGGAGATCCTCAGGCAGATTCTCAGGCCATCATGAAGCCTACATATGAAAGCTTTCCAATATGTGGCTTACAGTCTGCTGGCATAATGTTCCAAGAACCCAGGATTATCTCTATACCAGGATAAACTACTGGAATAAGACTCTATGTGCATGTAAAGTAACTATGCAACATGAGATGATACATGATGAAATGAAAAAAGGTTCATCCATCAAAATCTTTAAAAACTGAGAATGGAAGGGACCAAGCATTTATTAATCAGCAGGTGCTGTGTTAAGTGTTTCACAAATATCATCTCATTTGATCCTAACAGCAATCTCCTGGGAGGTAGGTGTTATTATTACCCCCATTTTACAGTTCAGGAAATTGAGGCAGACCAAGATTAAGTGACTTAACCAGAATCACACACCTAGTAGGTTTATGAGGCCAGATTTAAATTCAGGCCTTCCTGATTCTAGGCCCAGCGCTCTATCTCCACTGTACCACCTAGCTGACTCTGGAGGGAAAAGTTAACTCTCTCGGGAAGCTGGGAAGGTCAGAAAAGGCTTCACAGAGCTGGACTAGAATTGTATCATGAACATTCTTGCCTTCAGTTTTTTTTTTATTCTGAACTTAAACGGCAAGAAACAAAAACAAGAAAATTTCTATAAAGTAGAATAAGAAGATTATCCATGAAACCATGAATTTCTGTTATGTAAAGTTTGCTATTTAAAGGTATGTAATAAATTCAGCATTATTTACGGAGCTGTTCCTATTTGTCTGAGTTTTCTTCTGAACTTCTGTTTTATTCTGTGCATTTATTTTTTTAATCTTTCAATGCTGTTCATTTCTTTCTTTTATGTTTTTTTGACCCACTAATATCCCTGTACCCTCCCTGCTTTAAAAAGAGAAAAGCACAATCCTTATAATAAATATGTATATTCAAGCAACACAAATACACACAGTGCTTATGTCCAAAAATAAGTCTGTATTTCATTCTGTATCTTGAGACCATTTACCCTCTGTCAGCAGTTGGAAAGTATGTGTTAATCAGTCCTCTGGAGCCATGGATGTCATTACTTTGATGAGAGTTTTTAAGTCTTTCAGAGTTAGTTTTCTTTTCAATTTTTTATTACTGTGTGAAGTGTTGTCTTGTTTTTACTCATTTCACTCTACATCAGTTCATATAAATCTTTCCTTATTTACTTAAAACTGTCCCTTTCATCATTTCCTATGGCACAATAATTTTCTATTATATTCCTATATCCTATTTGTTCAGCCACTTTCCAATTGATGGATGCCCACTTAGTCTCCAGTCCTTTGCTACATACATTTAATAAAAAGAGCTACCATAAATTTTGTTGTACAAATAGGTCCTTTTCCTTATTCTGTGATTTCTTTGGGGTCTGGGTCTAGCCATGGTATCACTGTGTTATGGTTATGCACAATTTAGTGACTTTGGGGGCATAGTTCCAAATTGCTTTCCAGAATGGCTAGACCAATCCACAGCTCCTTCAACAGTATGTCAGCATACCTGTCTTTCCATAGGCCCACGAACAAATGTCATCTTTCCATCTTTTGTCATCTTGGCCAAACAGATGCAGAACCTCAGTTGTTTTCATTTGCATTTAGTTTACATTTCTCTAATTATTAGTTATTTGGAATCTTACCTTATGTAGTCTCTAAAGTTTCTCTTCCCCAAAAGTCCTTTCTCTACATGGAGTTTCATTTGAAATAAATAGTAGTTCTAAGCATCCCACAAGGTATTCGTTCATTCATTGCCTTCCTTTCAGGCTTCGGTTTTATACAACAAACATGCAGTTCTTTGTTGGTTGCTGTTTTCCAGATTGTGCTGGCTGTGGCAGAGACATAAAGAATGGGCAGGCACTGCTGGCTCTGGATAAGCAATGGCACCTGGGGTGTTTTAAGTGCAAATCCTGCGGGAAAGTCCTCACCGGGGAATACATCAGCAAGTAAGAAATCTCTCACTATGTGGAATCTAGAATTAACAGTGGGTAACAAAACCAAATGCTCTCAGTGGTTGACAGTAGGCACTTAATGAATGAAATCCAGCAAGAAGCGCGCTCATCCTTACTGAGGCAGCATGGTGTCCTGGGTGGGTCCTACATAGGGTCCTGGACTTGGAGTCAGGACAACCTGAGTTCAAATCTCATCTCAGATATTAGCTGTGTCAATAGGCAAAAGGCAAGTCACTTAATCCCTCTGTGAATCCATTTCCTCATCTGTAAAATGAGGAGATTTTGAATGGCGTCTGCCATCCCTTTCAGCTCTAAACCCTATGATTCTGTGAACTCATGTTCATGCCCCAACTTTCTCTAATATCTCAGATTAGTAGCAAACACCTTGTAATGTTGTCTTATAATTGAGTTAGGCAAGGAAGGCCCGTCCCGTTTAGACTCTTGAGATTATAGGTTAAATCAACAAGCATTTATTGAAGCCCTACAATATTCAAGGCCCTGAGCTAAGCAGTGAGGCTACAAAGAAGGTAAAAACCAGTCCCTGCTCTCAGATCTCAAAGTCTAACAAGGGAGACAACATGCAACCATATACAAGCTATAGCTATATGCATAAGAGAAAGGGAAAGGGAGACACAGAGATTAAGGAAGACTGGGGTTGTCTTCTTGAATCAAGTGGGACTTTAGCTGAGTCTTAAAGAAAGCCAGAGAAACCAGAAGGTAGAGGTGAAGAGGGCAATAATTCTAGGCATGGAGGAGTTGAGAGATGGAATGTCTTATTCAAAGAATGATAAGGAGGTCAGTGTCACTGGATTGTGGACAAGGTCAAGGGGAGTAAGTTGTAAGAAGACTGGAAAGGCCATGTTATGAAGGTATATAAAAAGCAAAAAAAAAAAAAGATTTTACACATGATCCTGGAGGTCATAGGGAGCCACTTAAGTTGATTAAATAGGGAGTATGTGACATGGTCAGATTACTTATATTTATATCATTTTTAAAAAAGATATACAAGATGCTTTCCTTTAAACAACCTTGTGTAGGTAATAGTGAGTGTTATTACATTTTACGTATTTTCTCATCGGAACTTGAGGTGCAGGTGAACGATTTGCCCACATTCCCAGAGAGAATGATTGGCAGAGGCAGGGTTAGAACCCTTGGATCCTGATTTCAAATCCATTCCTTTTTGTATTACACCATAATTCTTCCCCTTCAGAAGTCTTGGGGATGTGTCTAAGCAGGACTAGTCTTATACATAGACCCAGAAAGCACTTGCCCATGTGGTAGGATTTGAGAAATGCTTAGGAAGCAACTCCTTGCCCAGAAACAACTGCGCTACTGGCCTAAACAGAGCTAGAATTTGTCTTGAGTCTCTAAGGGCTTCTGTTGAAACATAAATAAATCATCTGGGAGGGGAAGAGTAGCACAGTAAGGCTTAATCAGTCATTAATATTTTAGCAAGAATTATTTCATCAAAGTGGTTCTTCCCAGTAAAAGCAACTAAAGGAATAGAGACTAGACCTATGCTTTCATTGATATGGGAAAGTCAGCAACTTCTCTGAAATTTGTAGAGAATTTGCCTGGAGCACTGAGAGTTTAAGCTACCTACCTAGGGTCATACCCCACCCTATTTGAGCATTCTTGCCTTATATATTTTAATAATATTTTATTCTGAACTTAACAAAGAAATGGACTTTTCCATATACAAAATAGAACCAGAAAAGGAATTATACATGAAAACATGAATCCCTGTGTAGTTTGTAGAGTTTTTAAAAATGTAAAATATCCTTTAAAATATTAACTTACATAAAGCAGGGTCTACAAGGTTTATGGAGAATGGGCCCAGGACAGGCATGTTTTTATTGGGATGGGGCTAGAGTTGGAGGCATAGAAAAGAAGATATTAAAATATTTAATTCAACAGATTAAGGGCCTACTATATTCAAGGCACTATGGAAAGGAAAGGTCTAAGGGTCTGACAAGGAGACCAGGGTCAGTTGGAGTTTCTGTAATTGGAGTAATTGGAGAGCCCTGTACGGAATTCCCTATTTCACCATTCATTCATTTATCCTACTAATATTTATTAAGTACCTATTGTGTGCAATTCACTCTGCTAGATGGGGGATGGAGAAGAAATACAAGATAAGACATGACCTCTGCCTTTAAATAATTTACACAAGGCCTCTAAAGGTCATGGAGATACCAAACAAAGAAGAGAAGAATGAAGTGGACCCAGGAATGGAAGAGCCCTGGGTGTTTCACTTGGTTCCTGGCTCTGGTTCTCAGGTTTTGAATTTATTGAGGAGGGGCTGGGCCATAGAAGCTGCTGCCACATCAAAGGAAGACAATAGGCTCAGCAATCACATACTTCCTGCCCAGAAAGGTCATGAGGAGAAAGAGCAACCGAGGACCCTTTTCGGCTCTGCAGTTAAAATGAATTTCTATTGCATGCATTATGAACACAAGCTTCCACTGATGATGGGCGGTAATGCTTGTTAGTTAAATCATAGATATAGACATTACTGACTTTAAGCTGCTTGGTTATATCTGTGTGGCAGAGGACACTATATTCTCTCTGACTCCTCTGGGTGTCTTGGGTGTGTGACTCTGGTATCCTCATGTATTCTCAAGGAACAAAAACTATTCTTAATATTATACATAGAACTGTATTGGGGGGGTAGGGATGGGTTTCCTTTTCTATTTGCTGCAAGCTCTGGATTCCTGCAGGGCTAGCTTCACACAATCTACAGGACAGGTTTTTTTAAGGAAATGGGAAGTAGATTCACACTGCTCGGGCTTTTTTCTACAGGGATGGAGCTCCTTACTGTGAAAAGGACTATCAGGGACTCTTTGGTGTCAAATGTGAAGCTTGTCACCAGTTCATCACAGGGAAAGTTTTAGAGGTAAGTGACAGATTTCTTTCTTATAACCAACATGTCTGTTTTCATACCAAAAAAAAAAAGAGTCACAAGTTTTGGAGTTTCAGGGGCTTTCCATTGCAATCAGAAACAGCACAAATCACCAGTTCCATATGTTCACACCTTTATGGGAGAATTCAAAGGAAAATTACATTTAACCACCTGAGATAATCTTGACATTGATTTCTACTATATGAGAAAATATTTTATTTTTCATAGGCTTTGTCTACCTATGGAGAAAAGAATGTTCCTCCATGTGGTTAGGGTCTTGCAAGCAGCTAAGAGGCCCAGTGAATTAATTAACCCTGAGCCTGGAGTCAGGAAGAGAAGTTCAAATCCAACTTCATGCCAATCGTGTAACCCTGGCAAGTCACTTAACCTATATCTGCCTCAGTTTCCTCAATAATAAAATAGAGATCATAATAGTACCTATCTCCTAGGGTTGTTGTGTGGATCAAATGAGATAATAACTATATTTAGCACATAGTAAGCATTATATAAATATTAACTATCATTATTATTATTTTTACAAAATGAGGATCACAATAGCACCTTCCTCAGAGCATCAAATTAGGTAGTATTTGTAAAGTACTCAGCATGGTATAAATGTTTATTTCCTCCCCGTTCCCTTCCCTTGCAGATTTGGAGCTGCCTTATCATGTTTGTGTTATAGGCATTATACAAAGTTGTTTGGTTTTTTTCTGGAAGCTAGGCTTTTCAGGTGTGTTGCAAAGACCATTTGATAAATAGATTTAGACATACAATTGATTTAAAAAAATTGCAGCTAGCACTTATTTAGCGCTTCAAGGTTTGCAAAGCACTCTGTATTTTAGATCATTTGATCTGAGAAAACAAAGGATGAGTGAAACATGTAGAGGTAAATTCCCCGCCCTAAGCAACCCACATCCTGTGTAATGATGAACACCCTCAGTATATTCTGTCTGTTTAGGTGTGGCTGTTCCAGGCAAGACAGCTTTGGGTCACACTTTCCCCGTTACTGTCTCTGTCTGATGGTCTGTTTGTGGTCAGTGACAACATTGTCACTTGCATTCATGATGAAGCCTCTGTGTTCAGGAGACTCTGCTAAAGGCTGAAGGATTCAAAACAAGCAGACCCTACCCTCAAGGAACTTCCACTCCAGTATAGGGATAAAACATGGACAGAAATCACTACACCATTAGTCAGAATGTGATCATTGTATGGGTGGCACACGCTCCCACCCACTGCAGAAGGCTGCCTGGTATGGGTGTTGCTTTGCCCTCGTGAAAAGTAAAGATTACCCTACTTCGAACAAACCCACACCCTAGCTTTCAGGGTGGATACTGTAGATGATGGATCTAGACAGAGGTGGAGCAGGAAGTCCAGCACAAGAACCAAGGGTGGCCCAACAGCAAGAAAGGCTCCTTGACTAATTTTATCTGTCCCCTGGAACTATATGAATAGAATCAGATTTAATCCTCAAACTTCACAGTACTCTCTAAGATACTATCATTAATAGTATTATCAACAAGCATTTGCTTTTAATTTTAACTTATATGCCATATTTTAACTATTAACTATTTAATATTTTATTAAATCACTGATAAATGACCACCTCTAATGTCCCACCCAGCTCTAAATTTGTAACCTTAATATAAGAGCTGATATTTATATGACTTCTTACAATGGTTTATGAAATATTATATGTACTATCTCATGGATATTCTTCACCGTACTCCTATAAAGTGGGCAGGACTGGTATTATATTCTCATTTCACTTATGAAGAAACAGAAGCTCCAAAATGGAGCAGGATATTTCCCAACTTCCCCTTGGGATTCTCCAGCAGAGGACTAGTTTTGAATTTTCATTTTCCAGCAGACCTTTGATTACCTTTCTTTCAAAGAACTCCCCCGGTATCTTGGAATCATAGAAGTTGGAAGTTGAAAGGTCCCTTAGTGGTCATCTAGTCTAACCCATACACTAGAAGAATCCTTTTGTACACCTTCCATTCCTTGCTGGGTTCTTTCCCTTGAAGCCAAACAATAAATTTAATCTCTCTTCGAGGTAATAGCCTTCACATACTTAAGATAGCTCTCCTGTTCATCCTGAGATTTTTCTTCACCAGGCTAAACAAGCCCCAGTACCTTCAGCTGGGTCAAGGTCAGCATTATAGTCAGTGATAGCAAAACTAGTTGAATACTCTGAGGGGTAGCCCCATATGCATTGTGGAGATATTGCCATACAGTCCTCTATTCAGTTGACTAGAATTGGCTCTCCCTGCCCTGTATCTGGCATTACATATTTTAAAATTCTTTTGCTGGTGATAATTCTAGACTTCATTAGTAATTATAGGGAAACTGCTTCCTCTAAATAGGAATGACCATAAATAGCATACAACACTATTTTTTTATGAGAGACTAGAGGTTTGATCTGCTCTCTGTGGTAGAAATAAAATTGGAGAAAAAAAAAGATAACCTGAGAAATCAAAACAATTTTTAAAAAGTGTGCATGCATACACACACACACACACACACATACACACACACACACACACACACACAAATAGAACATAGTATCCCAGATGCTAGTAGTATCTGGATAGTAGCCCAGATATGACTCTATAAGTAACAGAAGGGGAGAAACTGAATATATCCCACAGATCTGAAAGAGAACTTAGCAAAAGGTAAAGGATGTGTGACTTCCATTGGGGAAACAAGTTTGCTTTGGGCTGGTACCATAAAAGTTTGTAATTGGTTCCCCAAACAGGTTTTTGGTTTACTTTCATTTTGGACAATTTGCTGTAACAGCTGTGAGAAGGAATATCCAATATAAACTACTTCCAAACACGTACCATTTTGAAGAAAAATACATCTGAGTATTTTTTTTCCTGGGAAGTCAAGTAGCCCGAGGGATCACTGCACCTTCAGAGTATTTTATCAAATCCTTGGACTTGGAATTTGAGTGAAAGCAGCTCTGATGGAGAGAAAGCCCATGAGGTTTCTCTATGATACCATTCTAGTGGGTGCTGCTGTCACACCACATTTGGCCGTGAGATTCATAATCCGCCCTGCTGGCATCTTGCCCTCCTCAGCTGGGTGTGGGAGCTTGGAGAATTCACCCTTCGTGGTTGTCAAACAATGATGCAGTGCAGCAAGCTCGAGCCAGTTTGGCCACGTTGCCACTATAAAGCTCCACCCCTTCCCTCCCACACACTTCCCACCTTGCCTAGCCCTTTCCTCTTCCCTCCTACCCACTACCACTAGTGAATGAAGCCCTCGAAAATGAAATCTTCAGGATGACTTTCCAGACTGAAGGACATGTCCATTTGATAATTCAGTATGGGCAGCAATAGCACCTCCAAAGGAAATGGAAGAAAACAGCTGCTTGGGAGAAGCAGTAAACACTGGACAGACACCCCTTTTCTAGTGTTTTATGATAAGGTTTGAAGCTGGTGTTTTTGAGTTTCCAGAGGGCCATAAGCATTCTATACTTGGCTCTAATTAACTCAAATTTGAGATCAAAAACTGCGTTTCTCATGTAAGGAGCTAAGAATTAGGTGGTATAGTGGAAAAGACACTAGAACTCAAGCACCCCATCTCCTCTACTAGCTAGCTGTGGTTAAACCCCTCTGGGCCTCAGTTTCCTTCCTCATTTGTAAAAAATAAAAAATAAAAATAAATCAGCAGGGGATAGGGGTGTTGTACTCGTGGGGGTTGGAAGATACCTTCTAGCTGTGAAGACCTGGTTCAGACACTTCCTAGTTATGTAATTTTAAATAAGTCTCTTCACCTTTCCATCCTGTTGCCTCATCTGTAAAATGGGGGCAATGGAACTACCTGAGGGCCAGGGTTTTCTGAAGAAAGAGTAAAACACTCTTATGGTATACCCCAAGTCTTAGAGCAGACTTCAGGAAGATTCTATTTATTGGAGGGATTGAATAGTTGAGTTGAAAGTAACCTACCTCAATGGGCATTGTGAATTCCCACAAACGAGTCAGAGAGATGGTATAGTATTTAGAACACTGGACTTGAACACCTGATTTCAAATTTTACCTTAGTTATTAGCTGTGTGACTCTGGACAAGTCACTTAGCTTCTTTCAGACTCAGTTTCTTCATCTATCAAATGGGGATACAACAGCACCTTCCTCCAAGGTTGTTGTGAGAATCAAATGTGCTTTATATGTAAAGTACTTTATATGTAAAGCGAACTTTAAAGTGCTGTATAAATGTTTTTTATTATTATCATTATCATCATCACCATCATCATCATTATTAGTCCTTATTGTATGAGACAAAATCTTTTATTAACTATACACTCAACAAAATTTTAGCAAATTGAACAGAACCGAAGGTAAAAGAGGATTGCCAGTTGTCACCTCCGATTCAGAACATTTCTGGGTCTTCTCTTCCCTCGATTATTGATGTTCTCTCCTCCCCCTAAAAAGAATATAATTTCCTTGAGAAAAGGGACTGTTTCATTTTTACTTTTTCCTGTCGCCAAGCACGATACATAGGCGCTCAAATTTTGAGTCAAATTGAATTCATGACTGTGGTTAAACTGTTGTCCCCTCAGCTACATCATGAACATTGTGTAGTAGAAAATAAAACTTACCTTCCCTCCCCATCCCCTCCCCGACTATGCAGTAACAGAGGATAGAATTAAATGTCTATATTTCTTCTGTTTTTCCCAATTCTCTCCCGAAACAACTCACTGTAGGCTCTGTGTGTGTGTGTGTGTGTGTGTGTGTGTGTGTGTGTTTGCCAAACTCATTTCCTTTAGTGACAGAAAAATAACACAAATCCATCTTTGAGGTAGCTCAGAAACAGGTGATTATTTAAGACCTTCAAAGTAAAGTGGCCACTAATTATAGAATCAGTTTTAAAATTAGGGAATCCTTATTGAGTATATTTGATACAGATTATGACCTTGTAACAGTAAGGTAAAGATCTGGGGACAAAAAAGGAAGTACACCTTGAGAAAATTATATTCTGTCTACCCTCCTCC